GTGTCAGGTGCTCTTTGGACCCTTTTTCTCTTACTCACTTCTGATAATTAGTTGAAACCCAGCATTCAAAAATACTTCCTTTGTTAAATGCCTGTGGAATGAGGTAAGGCTATAGGATTAATTCCAACATTTTAGAGACCCACACATAGTTTAGCAAGTAGCAGCTTTGAGAGGTAAAAGAAGTAGGTTACTTTTTCTCTCCTTTCCACCAAAACCCAAGTATATAAAATTTAGATGAGTTTTTAATGTGGCTCTTACTAGGCTTGATTTGGTATTCATGTTCATTACATGCTTTCCAGTATAGATTTTAGGAGAAACACTCCTTGTTCACTTCAGTGCAAACAGGGCCTGAATTAATGTTGACATTTCTATGTCATTATTTTATAGACAGGTACATATAGTAAAGTGGCACTGAGAACATGCTCAAGGGTTTACACAGAATTGGAATAAGGCTCTCAAGCAGGTTGAGCATAAAATAAAGGTAAGGCAAAGTTAGAAGGCAAAAGCCCACCACTGGGAAGTTTCCCAGGTTATAAGCAACCTAAGTCTTCCAGTAAGTAGTGGTTTCTATTTCTGATGATGTTTGCAATGGCTTGACCTAGACTGAAAATATGTAATTGTTAGTCTTATTGTTTAAAATATTACTGGCAACTACAACTCCAAGTTAAGGTTAATGATGCAGTCTCATCTTGTTTAGGAAACAGCCTTGAGATCTTTGAAAGAAAAAAGCTTTTATCAACTCCTCTGTGTCCTTCCCATGTCTCTGTACATATACAGTTTAGAGGTATATTATATTATGTTACTCTTCTTATTCTTTTCTTCCCGTGTCATGTTTCCTTCAGTGATGAGTTTCCTGAACATTTCTCACTTCTTTTTTGCTTTTGAACCCAAAATTCAATTCAAATTTACGCTTGACTATGATTCTTAAGCAAGACATACGACTTAGGGCAACATTCACTTACCCTACTTAGCTTTTTCTGCAAACAAACAGGGCTAAGTTTACTCTCATTCACATTTGAGCAGCCCTAAAATGAGTAAAATGTTTAGTGTTCTTTGTCAGGAAGATTTTTGAATATTTTCTGAACAACGGGAGATAAAAGAGAACAACAGAAGAGAAAAAATTCTTTTCCCCTCTCCTTTCTTAGCATTGATTCTAGTATAAAAGAATATCCTAAAGCCATGTTAAACTATCCAATGGGAGTTAATTTGATGCAATCTGTTGCATTCATCGGGAAAAAAGTCCATATACTAGGTTTCTGCTTCAGTTTTTCTCTAGCACAGGCTGACAGAATTACATCCAGCAGCTTTGGCGTTGTGCAATAACCAAGTCCAGTGTAAAATGCAGCTGGCCAGCTGTTTGAGGATCCTTCCTGTGGTGGGACTCTCAGGTAGCAAAGAGCCACCAAAATCACTGATCTTTGCAGAAAGAATGTTTGGGAGACACACAGGCTGTGGTCAGCCCTTGGCTACACTGGTCTCCATTTGCTTCAGTAAACCTTTTGCCATCAGAGTCCTCCAGTCTACAGGACCAGCAGACACAAGACTGGTGATCCCTTCATGGTCCAAAGGAGCATGAAGATCACTTTCAGTTACAGTTTCCCTTAAGGTTCTTGTATCTTTGCTGATGGTGTGCATTGTGTTTGATGACTTGAGCAGTAGTCTTGCCTAAGGCCATACTTCACGCAGTGAAAGTAACAACTCCATCAGTAATGCATGAAAAACTAATCAGACCAAGCAGTTTGGTTTTAGCTGTTCCTATATTGTAGGTGTCCTGTTGGAGGTCACATAGTGATGTAAAATGAGGGACAATGGGATTGGCATGATCAATTCTTTTGTCATTTGAGCCATTGAGTGTAGCCTCATTGACTGTCATGTTAGGTTTAGGGGTCAAAGACGAAAGTATAAAGTAAAAGTCATGAAGCTACTGTTACATAAGTCCCTTCTAGCTAAATACAAGCAACTGCCCCCACCTTTATTCAAAGTAGGTTTGCTCAGCAACATGTACAGCACTAAGTTTCAATGAAGAAGGCCCACCAAGACAAAAAGCCCAACTGCCAGCAAAAATTGTGCACCAACAGTCTCTAGACTGAAATAGGCTCTTGAATAATTGAGACACACAAATGCAAGTAGTAAAAAAAAGTACACCAACAAGTAAGAGTACCAGAGTGGATCTGAGCGCCATTCTTTTCTTTCCTGTTCAACCTTTAAGCAACATTTTCATTAATTGGGTAATCTCACCTTATACACATTGGTTCAGCTTCAGCTTGAGTAATTCTGATTGAGTAAATCTGCACAATTCTGTTTTGTGCAGATTGTATTTTAGCAGGTTCCCTAAAATTAGTTTAATAATTTTAATAGCTTCTATGCTGTACATATCTAGATGACAAAACTGCTACTCTATTCAATGCTTTTGTAGACTGTCCTAACAAAGTCACAAAAGAGAAAATTGGCATTGGAACTCTACAACATACTCTGGCTTCTACAGTAGGGTTGGGAAAAAATGAGTATGATAGAATGTGGCCTCCATAGATTTTAAACTTCCAGGGTAAAAAACTTCCATTATTTTGAGAAATATTCTGATTCCTCATTGGTTCAAAAATCGAACTGATCATAAATAAAGGTTTAGCAAAATAATGGTGTCATCTAACACTACTGCCACTTCCTTGATGGATAAGCTGGTCCAGTTAAGCTGCTTTAACTTCTTCTCTAGGAACTTCACTCAGTACTACTAATTTAACTTCCATTAAAGCAAAGTATCCTTCCTCTTCCTCCAGCCCAAGATAGGTACAGCTTAATTACAGCTGTGTGCTATGCTAAGTGATGAGTTAACAGGTAGAATCACAGTGCTGCCACTCTAGTTATTGTGGTTGTAAATATGTAAGCTACAGTTGCAGTAGCAGCTTTAGGTTTTGTTTTTCCAACAGATTTAAGCTGGAATTTTCAGGGAATAAGAAGACCAGGTCACCCTGCTTTTCATAAGCTTAATCAACCTCACTGTGACCATTCCTAGAATAACTGAAGCTGTCTGATTTACATACAGTCAAGCTTGGAATGTGCCCACTGACTGGCAGGTTCAAGTACATTTTTGGTCAAAAGGGAAAAATCTATTATATTGAGGAAATGGTTATATTTTCTTCTGCCTACGTAGATTTACTTGTAATGCTTTATTCTGTGTACCTAGCTCCAACCATGCATAAGGTTTGCATTTTCTAGTTAAAACAAAAGCATGTTGGAACTTTTAGCTAGACACATAGAAAGGCATTCTTTGTTACAGTTCACTGAACTAACCCATCTCATTTGTGAATCATTAATGATATGACTGCTGGGTAAATTTACTTTGGTTGTAAATCTATAAATGGCATGGGAAGATGTGGTAGAATGATTTTTCATACTTAGCTTTTAAAAGAGAACACTATAATTTCAAGGAAGGCAGAGAAAAAATACACAACAACCTTAAAAAGTTAACATTTTTAATTCTGTAAGATTAATTCTACCATTCTGGTTTTTGTAGTTGTATATTGCAGTGAGTGAGTAAATATACAGACATACAGAAGTTGTCCACTTTAAGACTGTCCATTATGGGATAAACTTTTTAAAACTGCTTCTTGAGGAGGCTTATTTACAGTGGATAACAGTCACAGTTTAAAAATTAGGTACTTGAAAACACATGTGATGTTATTTGGAGTCACAGTTTAAAAATCAGGTACTTGAAAACACATGTGATATTATTTGGAGTTATAAAGTGATTCAAAGTAGGAAATAGCAAGTCTGAATATGAAGTAGCATTTCCCTGAGGATCACAGCCTAGGAAAATGGACAACAGTGTTTTCATATAGACATCCTCACTCTTAATTAGGATATATTAATAGATGAATATTCAGAATGGTATAATTATGTTTATTATTTTCTTCTCTTGTTGAAGGAGATAGGAATATATATAAAGATTTATTGAAATATTTTCCATTAGGACAGAGCTGGTATAAATTCAGGAATACACTGTGGCTTTAGGATAATCACATAGGAGAACTCCTTTAACTAAATACAAACAAAAATTTTCATCTTGTGAGAGTTTCTGATGTTTCAAAATGGTTTTTTTTCCCTACAACAGGAAACCCCAAACACAAGCACTTTATCAAGGAAAAAGTTCAGACAATCTTAATTCAGAAATTATGTTCTTCAGGAGAATATACCTGTCACGTAATTTTTTTACTACATCTCACGATTTTGCTATAGGATACTTTGCTGGACATCATGAAAAAGTGGTATACCTCAGGCACACAGAAAAAAGCGCATGGCTTTGAGGTATTTTGAACCATGTTACTCTCCACTGCATAGGGAACTTGTAGACCTCTCATTTGAAGGGCTCTCTCTCTCCATCTATAAAGAAAAACTGAATTCTGAAACACTTAAATTCAGCAGCTCTCAGTTCTTCATATTGTTTGCAGGATTCACTAACAATACTTGCTAAACCATGGGGCAAGTTTCCTACAGTAACTAAGATGCAGTGCAAATAAGATCGCACTGGGCAAAGTTTATTTTTAGCAAAGCTCTACAAAGCTCACACATACACCTGTCAGTGACTGCAGCCTTAATGGTTTTTACCTGCTCATGGTTGACTCAAAACCAGCATGCTAGTTTCATAGTAAAATCAGCCAGGACCATTATTTTCAAAGGTTTGTTTGCAACCCTATCACAGGATTCCTCTGAATTTAGTTAATTTATTAATTAGTGTATTTTCCGTAGATTTCTAGTCCAATAGTAGAAGGTAACCTCTTATTTCCTAAATGTGTTGTATTCTTAGTATATGTTTTGGAAAATTTGGGCATAAACATGCATCAGCTTCTGTCTCTATCTTTTGTTTTTATTTTATCTAATGCACAGTTTAAAAAAATGTTCTTTTTCATACATTAAATGCTTTGAAATAGTTTAATTGCTTGAGTATGTTAGAAACAATAACCAGACAATAAAGAAAAATGCCTTTATATGTTTTACTGTTGAACACGAACAAAGAAAACAATTAAAAATAAAAAATGATCAGAACACAAAAATGTAATTAAATTTTCTTCTTTTATTTGTGTTTCCACCCAGGGCACAAACACCGAGGCATTCATTTATCTCTATTTCTATCTATCTCTATCTCTATCTCTAACCTCACTGTAACAGTAATAAATCCAGACTTAAAAATCTAACCCAAGATTTTTTTAGAAGAAATTTCTGAGGGTTTCTTTTCCCCTGTTTCTATTTCTAATTATACAAACACTAGTAGTGTTTGTATAATCTATGCAAACACTAGTAGTTTTATGGGGAAGGACAATGGCTGGAGCAGTCTTCTTTAAAGGCATCTAACAATAAGATGTTCTACAGGTAACATAATGGAGTTACAGTTTTCAAGTTTTATTTTGTACCATCCATATACACATTTCACTTTACCTTTTACATAAAACAGAACTTTATCAAACAGGACAAAAATAACTTATGATTGTATGAAAAGTAACTGTAAAAAAAAAAAATCACAAAATTATACATACTAGTGCAGCAAGAAGTGTAACTAATTATTTTGATTTTTTTTTCCATGATATGCAACAGGTATTTCTTTAGAACAACTATCAGCCAGATATACAGTATAGTAGATTAAGAACATATGTGTATATGTAAGTGTGTATAAATATGTAGATTACTCTGTAAGGTTTAGGAAAAACATAATCCCACTTTCTCTCCTTACCAAAGTGCTTTGTGTAAAAAAATATTACACAAGATGCTGCTTTTTGTACAGAGCAAAAAAATTTTTTTTTCTTAAATATAACCCCCCTCAGCTAATTTTAAATGGTATTTCTCTTTTGCTTTACCTGCTTCTAGAAAATATATATTAAAAAAAACCCCAAACCAACAAAACTAACCAACAACAAAATTCCATACAAAGAACAAAAAAGTGCTGTTTAAAAAACTCTACTATAAAATTACACAGGGAAAACAGGGAACAAACAGCTAAAATGTAATTTTTATACTCATTCACACCTCTTCAAAGAAAGCTGAAAACAAAATACAATGTGACAGATTGGCAGATGGTTTTAGCACTTCAGTACTTCAGCACCTGGTATTATTACACCATAATGCTTGTGTGCTTGTGTGTATATATACATAGAAAGGGAGATCCAAATAAACACGTACACTCTCATATACTCCCACATGTACATATGCACTTTGAGACTGTATTTTGAACTCCAGTGTAGACCCATTTCTAATAAAGATATAAATAGATCATTGAGTCTGAAAACAAGTGAATTGTATAAAAGAATGACTGTAAATAATTTCATTTGAATATTTTTTCATGTCCATAGTCTAAAATAACTTCATTTTCTCGACATGAATCCCTTTAGATAATTAACAATCCAGCAAGTAAAATAACAACATAAAAATCACTAAGGCACAAGTATTGGAAGATAACTCAGTAACTGGCATTACTTTATGTATTCTCTCAAGCACCTTTTTCATTGTAACATGTGACAAACACAATTCCCTAATTAAATATCTTAAATACTTGAGATAAAATAATTCTTTTTTATACAATTGCCCTCAGTGATTAAGTTGATGCCCTGAAATCAGTCCAATTTCAAAGAGAATAATGAAATAATTGTGAAGAATCCTCTCTATCTCTGAAAGAGAAGTAAACAAAGGCATACCTTTTTACAGTCTGGTAACCCACTCTCATGTGCTTGATGTAACTGTACCTTAACTCCTTCTTTTTAGTATTAAGGCTCATGGAAAGCTGTGAATATATATATATATATATATATATATATATATGAGAAATAACAAATTAATGACTTGTAAAAATTTTTAAATGTAATGAAGCCCCAAATTATGAATATCTTTTTTGAATTCTGTACCCCCACTTTTCCTTTGGTCAGGAGGTTTCAAAATGTAAAACCCTCTGCTCTACTGAACAGCTTGTACATTCAGATACTAGAAAAATATTTCAAAATATTTAAAAGTCAGGGTAGTACAGATCTGAAGACAGCAACAATATTTCAGTTCTGTGCACAGCAATGGACAAACACTGGATAACCACGTGGTTAAAAGAACCTTGAGGGATTTATACATACAAAGTATGTATGTACATAGGTATATACACATGTACTTCCACACTGAGCCTGATCCTGCTCTGGCTGACTTCAGTGGAACAAAACACAGTCCCACACATTTGAAATTGAAGTGTTCAGTGTGACTAGTTATTTCTGCTGAATCAAGTTATGCTTGTGCAGTGAATGCATAATGGGCTTTAAGATAGGACAAAATTAAAGCTTAATTAAAAAGTGAAACTCGTGGTCAATGCACTGGGCCAGATCATACACTAATGCAAAAGGACTGTGCATGTACAGCTGTAAGGGATGCCTGATGTCATTTGCAAGCCACATATTGTAACATCTGGTCCTGTTACTGCAAGCTGGAGCAGAACAACGACTTCACTTGTGATATGAGAAGCAGAATAAAAGGGGGAAGAACTTAGCGCAGAATTATCTGTATTTTAGTCATACTACTTCTTATTGTACTTCATTTATCTGCATGCTTTGTCCATATATTCTACATATTTATTGGATGAAAATCTCTCCATTAAACATTTATGCACATACGTCTGCACGTAAGAATATACTTCATGAATAAAAACCTCAAAAGATTGCCAGTGTTAATAAACATCTGAACATAAATTCACCTATTCAACATAATGACAAATTAAATTACAAATTTGAGCCAACTGCACTGAAAAACTCAAAAAGAATTTGTATAAACAATTTTTTTTATGTTCATCTTTGCAGAAGAGTGATTTCAGAAGCGTAGTTGTGGTCTAGCCTGTAAGAACAAACTAAATTTCTGTCCTGTCCTTACTATTTCAGATCATGAAAATGTTAAGATGCACATTAACATAGTTAAGAAGTCCACAAAAGGGATGAACAAGGATTAATCACCTAAAAATTCAATCCTGCATAATGTGACAGTTGCTTCCAAGGCATACAGGATCACAGTGATGGCATGTCTTCACTGTGAAATACTGACTTTAACTGATAATCTTGTATCTTTCATGAAGAGCAACCACATTTGCTTGTATCCTGGACTAAATTCAAAGACTAGAGCTGACATTGAGTAGAAAGATCAAACCCATCAAACCAGTTCAGTTTTACCTCTAAGTAACCAGAGGGAACACAGCACAATTAAGAGTAGCTCTTTCTGAAAATATGTTCTAGAAAATATTAGGGCAACAAAAATTTAATTGAATCAATACAAATTGTTTTTTAAAAAAAATCTGTGGAATTTAAGGAGGAATCTTTCCTACACAGTGTTTTAAACCTCCCTAAAGAAAACTATAGCACAGTATTAGCACAGTACAGCAATAAAGTTCTACAATGTAATTAAAAAGCAACAGAGAGTTAAAATGTACTTATTCTTATCTGGCATCTGTGCTAAACACAGACAAAGCCTATGTAAATTCTCATGTGTTTAACCCTTCTTATTCACACTTAAAGCATTGGGTTGGAATGAATATTGGAAAAATAGCAATAGCCATATTGTATGGCTAAAAATACAGAGGGAAGGAAGAGACACATAACCCAAGGTCTGTAAGAAATCCAGTACCAATGATCTTTGAGTCCAAAAAGAAGCCACACCAGTACCTCCAATAATAATAATGGCCAGTCTTTACGAATGAAGATCCGGGGAAGGTCTTTACACCTTCCAGCCTGCGCATTGGATTTTTTAGGTGAGACACAGTGTGCGCGGAACTGAGCCCACCCTTTAATCCTAAGGTTCATCTGCCGGGGCCAAGCGAGCTTGGACGGTGGCAGTGAGGTCCTTAGGACGTAGGTGGGTTGCCTTTAAGGGCTAACGAGCCCCACCTGCCCGGGAGTGGCCCTGACCGGGAATCGAACCCGGGTCTCCGCGGTGATAGCACCGCGCCTTTACCACTAGACCACCAGGGGCACCTCCAATGGGTAGTACCAAATTATACGTCTAATTTCTCTCCCTTCTGGATACTTGTGTGTGTTTAAGGTCGGAAGCATCACATGCAAACAGATTGTGCAAAAAGCTGTATGCCTTTGAAATGGTTTGTAGTATGCTCTAGTTTTACTTCTTTTCCTCTTGTGAAAAAGGAATTTTCTAAAGCTTTGTTCTTCAGTAAGTGTACCCATTCAACTTGAAAGGATTGCAGCTAACAAGCAGTTTTCTTATTTGGTCTCTGAATTCCCTTTGAGAAATTAAAAAGAAGAAATAATAAAAAAATAGAGTTGCTGTGCCACAGATGAGAAGAAAAGAAATATTGCTAAGGTTTTGGCAAAGCTCGCTTTCTCCAAACATTCCCCTTCTCAGTTGGCGCGTGATTAAATGAAGAATGCTCAGTGATTGCTTTTTTCCTCTCCATTATGTATGTATATCCAGTCATATCCCCATACATACATGCCAGTTTCATGAAGAGAAATATTTTGTGGAAAAATACAAGAAGGGCAAGATGAAATGGAATGAAGTTCTTGTAACTAGATTTACATTACTTTAGCCTTCAGTATATACGGAGGAAAGCTGGCTAGAAGGACGATCCACTGCGTTTACTTGTAGGAAACCGCTGTCCTCTGGCATGCTACAAGCTGAATCACCAAAGATACCTATGGACCCTGCTGGAAAGTCATACACTGGGAAAAAAAACCCAAAAAACAGTTAATTAACTAGGATAGCTATATCATGAAATATGTTCTAATACTTATACATAGATCTGGAAATGGCTTTAAATCAAATACACAAACAAAAAAAACAAGCCAACATATGTTTGAAATTAAAAACATCACTTACTCCTTACCAAGAGAGGAATTTTCAGTTCTGTCTGAATTGAGTCTGATGTACAGCACAATTCATCACAGCTAACACTTCCCCATACAATGGATGTTGAAATTGTGATAATTTTAAAAATAAACTTCACGCTTGCTTAAAAAATTTCATCATACTGAACTCATGATAAAATATTGTAGAACGAATTGCTGTAAAGCAAAGCCTGGCACAGAAATGACTACCTTCTACAAGCAATAGTAGTAAACGCAAGAGTAACTGTTTGCATAAAAACCCCCACCTTTTGGATAACAGGTTTACATACCGTGAGATGTCTCTCTGAAATTACAGGTGCATTGGCTTTGCAATGCACTACTGAAGTACCAAGGATGTAAAAGGGATTTCAAAGAACAGTAAGTGTTAAGTGAATTCATCCTGTGTAGAAGGACAATGAAAGACTTGGTGCTTAGTTGTACTTAGGCCCTAAGATTAGGCTCACTGGCTTGTACTAATGCCCTGCACAGAGGGAACTTTCTCCCTTCCAGAGCAGCATACAAGCCCCTGAAGTACTTTTCATCTGGGTAGAGACTAAGTTAAGCACAGACAGATAAGTACACACCCAGGCAGTTCTTGTCATAGAAATGTGAATGAATTAAATTCAAGACTGATAAAACCCAAACATACACCAAGCAAAATCAGTGGTTTAAATCATCTCGGGTTCCTGCTACAACACAAGCAGTGAAGTGGAGTGGCTGCACGAATATCACACAAGGCTCAACAGACTGCATCTCAAAGCAAATACACAAGCTAGAGACTGTCTGACCCCCACAGATTAGAACACTGAGAAGCCCTCAACAGAGTACAGTTTACTGTCACCTATGGTGACTGCCTCCCAGTGCCAACCACTCCACAAAGGTCTGAAAACCATCTCCTCTTTGTGAGTCAAAGAGTCAAGTCTGTCACGAGATGTCCCACTCACATGCACTCCCATGGCTCAAGCAGATCAATGTTCACAGACTGTACACAATCATCCACAAAGTCACCAGCTGACAATCATCCACAAAGTCACCAGCTGTCATTTACCTGTGATACCAGAATGACCTGAAAAAGTTCGATGGAAAATGCCAAGCCCTGCCTGGCCTGTTGATGTGGGAGATAAGCAGTCTTCAAAAGGAGGAACCATATTGCAAGAAACACCATTTTGTATGTTCTTCTGAGTGTCAGCATGGTGTGGAGGGCAGAAAGTCTGAAGCTGCCCATAAAAATCTAGAACAAGGAGAAGAAGGCCATCAGTAAAAGACCTAGACAGAGATACAAAGGATGGTATGTGGAACTGTGGCTGAGAGAATGATAAAAGCCTCAACCGCCATAACACCAGGCCTTTAATAATTTTTCACTAATGAAGTAGTGTTGATACAAAGCTCCCTAAAACTTCCTCCATTTGCTACCAATTCCAAACACATTCTTCTTCATCTTTGGGTATCCTGATTCCAAGCATAACTTGTGAGAGGTACCGACTGTCTAGAAGCTGAAATTTTTCAGGAAATTTCTGTACTCTGCAGTCCTGCTCTCTGAACTGGTTCTCTCCAGAGATCACACTGGGCATCTGCCTGAAAAATCTAAGAAAACACTTAATTCCAAATAAAGGAAGATTATACAAGTAAAGTCTGAGTAACAACTGAGAGTCTGTCACTGATGCCAAGACAACTGGCTGATAGTGGGGACATAGGCAGAGGCTCAGCAGGGCTGCTAGATGATGATGGGGCTTGCTCTTTGCAAGTACAGGGTGAGAGTCTAAACCCACTCATTGGCAGCGATAAGTTCACAGGGAAGAGAATCAAGACCACTATGTCATGTGGCATAAAAAATCCCCACTAGGGTTTTTTTTTCTAAAAGTTTTTTGTTTCTTAAGTGATATTTCAGAGGCATATAAGCACTGAGCAAATTCACATTGAAGTCCATGCCAAAGTATGTATTTATATAACAGAATTCACTTTTCTTTGTAGGAGAGGGGCACATGCAGTCTAAGTAGAAACAGACAGATACTCTGCAGTAGCTTGGTCAAAAGATTTTTCTCATGAAACAAGGTCTTTTCTCCTGCCTAAAGAACTACTGTCTAAGTCTAAGTTTTGGAGATTTTGTTTCGTCTGAAGGAAGGCTTTTATGTGTAGAAGATCATTGGGATGCATTTATTTCTGTTTTCTATAACATGGTCTTAGAGTAAATGTCAGAAGAAAATCCACAAATCAGTATCAGAATATCTGTATTTTTTCTTTTAAGAAAAACTGTGAATCAAGCTCCTCTCTGCCAGTGCTGTGTCTCCTTGTTCTCACCGTTCTCTTTGTCTGCATAAAGGAAAAACACAGTGCATTATCTTCAAGGTGTTACATAGAAATTGTAGACCTTGACTGTTCAAAAATAGGCTCAGGAACAACAGACTCTCTGAAGATTTTATTAGCAAACAACTTACTGCCTAAAGGCTGGTGTGCAATTCTCTTGATATGTTGAGGTAAGTCATACCTAAAAGCCACTGTCAGAAAAATAACCCCCTACCTCTGAAAGCATTTAAAAGAATTTCCTGTGACATTACTGTCATTAGAAAAAGCTGTTGTGTAGGGCTGAATTCTCTAGCCAGTCTATTTAACCAATATCCATATGACCAAGTCATTCCAGATGAATTTCCTTCTGGCATAGAAAGATCAATAAGATGAAATAGCAATAAAACATTCCCTAAACCCTTAATACATCAACATCAGGGGAAAAAGAAGGAAAATGGTGAAAGAGGGTTTGGAAAACAACTTTTAATGCATTTTTTATATAAAGGAAAAGAGAGAAGAGAGGAGAGAGGAAAGAAGAGAAGCCCAAAGAAAAATAAAATGTAGAAGCATGGCTCCTCTTCCACAGCAGGCAAAATTTGCCTCTCACTCCCAGAGAGGCTGACCACTCACAACCCTTTTTGCAAGGGTTGCCCCTAGTAGAGATGGTTTCAATGTTTTGTTTTGTTTTTTAAAGTTAAACTGCAACAAAACCACATCAGACTGTTAGGAATTTACAAGCCATCAATCCTTAAATATTCAGTCTTGACATTTAAGAATCAAGAGTAGTAAAATAGTAGAAAATTAAAGAAAAAACAATAGTCATCCAAAACTTGATTTTGAAGCTACATGAAGCTATTGACAGGTTTTGCCTTGTTTAAAAATGTTTTTAAAATAAAAATTTTTCTCAACCAGAAAGAAGATACACCATGCAAGTTTACTGTTGAGCCAGACTAGTTACCAGAAGCAACTATTTCTATCTCTGTGTGAGTGGTCTGAACTAGCTGGCAAGATCCTTCAAGACACAAGTATCCTTTCATATTACTCTGTGCTCATTCTCTATTTATGCCTCTCACAGCATCCTGTTGCCAGTGTAGAGCAATCTGCCAGTAACTTTGACTATTGCTAGCTCAAGTCTGGCAGAAAAAATATCTACCTTGGCACTGAGCTATTTTTGAGTCACATTCTCTCTGTTTGGTCATCCCCTACTTAAGTAAAAAAATATTGTCTATCAAAGATTTGACCCATCAGTACATTAAAATCTAAATAGCAGAAAGGACGAGGGAAGTGCAAAAAGCACTTATGTTGACTAGAAAATTCCCAGAAAATTTTTTATGATGGAAAGAGAGCACAGAAAAGTAATGCAACTTTCCCAGATACATGTTCTTTTCTTAATTCAGTGTCAATTACCCATCTTATAAAACAGAGAGCTATAAACAAGAAAAAAGCATATGTAGTTGTCCTCCCCTCAGTTATCTAGCACTATTCTAAATGTTTTCGTGTGCATCTACAGTGCCTCAAGTGGAAGGGGAGAGGTCTTAGAACTGAAACCCAACATGAAAGCAAAATCTCCTAACTTGGTGTCAGGAGCTCTTTCCTTTATTCACATAGTGCCATGCCCAAGATAATCTCCAATACAATTATCAATGTATGATAATATGAAACCACATGCAATTCAGGCCATAGACCCTGACCATATCTAGCCCATCATTCAAAATTATCTGCTAGAGAACTACCTGTAGTATCAGTTTTCTGTGTTTTCATGCAGTGATGGAAAAAATAAAAAAAGAGGCAAGCAGTTTATCTAATAAAGTTTCAGTAGCTGAACATTTCTTCTCAGGGCTGCAACTCTGGATTGTATAAGCTGGTCTCTTAAACTGTTTAAAACACACACATGCACAGGGTTATGTCACTTGTGTTTCTTTGTATCAGTTACACTACAGCCAAGATCCACGATGTCAAGATACAGAGCAAACAGTTGTTTCTTTTGACATGATGGGATTATTTCCTTAGGAAAGTGAAATAATTTTAAATATGATAAAATAGCTGTATGCTGCAAGAATTGTGTCTAAAAGCAAGAAGCTCTTATTCTTTATCATATAAAGAGCTTTGTCCTGACAGGTGTTGAATATCTGAAAAGCCCAGGTAGAGAGCCCATCTCAAATTCACACCTGAGACTGTGGTCCGTGTTAGTTTGGGATAGAGTCCTTCTCCTCTTGTACTGATGTGGACAAAGATTTTCTTGCAGATATATAATGAATGACTGCCACAGTTATCACTTCCATAAAGTAGGAAGTTTATAATGGACATCTATTCCCTCCTCAGTCATCTCTCTGCCTAGCACAACAAAGAGAGAGTATTTTCTCAAGAAAATCATTACAACTACCATTAAGAAATGCACATCATGAGTGAATAGCCATTGCTGCTATGGTATGTAAAAATGCCAGCTGTCTTTGTCCTGAAATACTTCAAAATAGTGTTCCTCTGCAGTATATTTCTACGTGTCCACCAGGCGAATTACACAATACCAAGTAATCATTTGGTACCATCTGGCTGCTAAGAACAAATGGAACAGAAAGAGTGAGATATGAGTCACCTACTGTACTAACAGACTAATTTGCAAATGTGAAAAGCTAGAAATGTTTCTGTTTACCGAAATCTGATATTTTTTGCAACTCAAAGATAACTCTTACTAGTAGAGCTATCTGTATAGATACACTAGTATGACTAGTATCAGCTAACAATTTTTTTTAATGCAACTTTTTTTTTAATGAATACTTCGTATGATTTAAAAAATTTTTTTCCATTATTCAGTCAGCTCTGAAAATCAGTCCAAAGAGAAAGCTGTATCTCCATTCTAAGATGAATAACAATTAGCTAAGGTAAGAATTTTAAGGAAGTATAAAAGCAGGGTCCTGAAAGCTACTTCCCAGAGTCTTTCAGAAGGAAAGGTGCCTTAAAAATATCAGTGCCAGCCCCTAAAGCACCTAATTTGAAGCCCAGCACTAGTGACAAACAACTAATGTCAGTAATCTTCAGTTTGACATTCTTCCTTCTTACCCTTGATGTGGAGGGTATTTGGTTGAAAAGAAGGGCTTTCTGCTGCCTGGTGTGGCTGTGGAGGCAATCCTGCAGGCTGTTGAAGCTGGGGAGGTTGTGAAGTCTGTCTCTGCAACAGGGGATGTGGAACAGACATTCTCTGGTGGCTGATGTGGTGAGGAGAAAGAGCCGGAGCAACAAATCTAGGATTCCAAAACCACAAAACTGTAAAATCTCCAATACATAAGAGCTAAAGATTGTTTCTACTTTATTTAGACTACTGTCACATTTAGCTATTTGCATAGATACAGACTTCTGAAATAAGTGTGCAGGCCAAATAAGAGATGATATATTTTTAAATTGTTACATATCATTAGATATGAAAACTGTGAAATTAACAGGCTAAATTTACCCTTATTATGGGAAACTCCTTTTAACCCACTCCTTCTGTGTTTAAGTCTTAATGGGAATAGATGCCTCACGGGGGACCTAACTTCTTAGGCATTGCAAACTGTTTGTTTTAGGACTTCATATCAACTTTATCTATCAATAAGTAGCTGTCCTTCCTGAAGGACAATCTAAAGGCAATATAATGTAAATAAAGACAAGTGTTAAATTGCTTCCAGAGTCTGACCAGATCAAAATGTTGATCTGGACTCAAGTATACTTAAGTATACTTGAGTCCAGATATGTATTCAAGTATAAAGTTAAAAGCCTCACAGAGGAGAACTCTTGAAAACAAACCTGGTGGTGAAGCTGCCACATAGGCTCAGTGGTACATTTTTCACAGCTCTGTCACTACTGGCACTACAAGGATACACACTACTTTTGAAGGTTTTAAACAAGAGTTTTACAGACTTTACTTCTTTTATGGGCATTTTTTCTACATTTCCTTAAAATTGCGTACCTCAAAGTCCATTACAGATAGGTGCTATGATCATTTTTGCGGACAGAAAATGGAGGTTGTGAGAGCTCCAGTCTGTGGAGCTCTCACAGTGATCAAACCACCTACTAGACCAACGGGATCTGATTAGTTAATGAAAGCTCAGCCTGGGCTCAGGAATGGCTGTAGGCCACCTTCTCATCCAGGAGGAGAGATGGAAAGGCCAATAAAAAAGAGCCAGGATATTTCTGCAGAAGGGTTAGTGGAAACTGATGCAGTATTCCTGTCACAGATTAGCCTCTCCATTGCTAAAAGCAAGCTTCAAGTCTGCTGAGAAAGAGTATCCACTTATTCTTCCCTTGTGCTAAGCAGCTGCCTCTGTTAACACAGTCTACCAGTATTCTGAAGTGTGGATCTGGTCCTTGTCCTGAGACTGGATCTCAATACACAATATGACTTTTTTTTAAGCTAGCAAAAAAAGTATGGTTTTCCTGAAGAAATGTAAGGAAGTTTTTATTACATCCTGAATACAACAGGAGGTGCAACTGCAGTAGTAGCACTACAGAACACCTCTGGACCGGGTCATTGTACAGGGTATAACTGCATTTAAATCCAAGTCTCCTCAGATCTTTTACACTGCAGCTCAGAATCTTCCATCTGCCACACATTATCTGCGTGATTTTGATTTCATTAGAAAACTGTTTACTGGTGGTCCATAATCTGCATTTGGAGTGTACCAGGATGAACTGTGGATGATTTACTACCTACTCAGCTTTCTTTGAGAGTCACATTTTTAGGCATATTAGATGGCGTTTGGATGGTCTTGGTGCTGATGTGATATTAACTTCATAAACACATCTTCAGATATGCTACATAGATGGAGGAGATAAAGATTTCGCTACTGAGTTTGAGTCTTTAATGTGTTAAGCATTTCATTGTTCCAGATAACTGATGCAGAGTAGACTTAAAGACATGCTAAGGAGGAAGAGAACAAAGCATGCATTTCACAATCATACAAGAGAATAACTTTTTTAAAAAGACAAACCAATAGTGATATTGTGATAAAAAGATCAAAGATTTTTAAAAAGTGTTGCTACTACCCAGTTATATGTCTCCTGAGTAATGATTGTAGTTAGTTTTTTGTATAGCACTCACACAGAAAAACTGTTATCTGCTGTTAGTGATTGAAAGTAATGCACAGGCAGTCTTTAATAAAATTAATTCTTTAAAAAATCACTGTATATAATCCTCTGTGTTTTCAAAGTTAATTTGTGAAAATTAATATCTGAAAAATGATTTTAACCAGCAGCCACCAAAAGGGAAAAGATAATTTTCAAAACTCAAAGGGAAAAGCACGGTTTTAGAGATTTCACATTTGATTTAACATCCAAAAAAAGTCCCAATAATAATGAACTATATTATACAGCCAGACAAGGCTCCATTTCAGTAGACATTAGTGGTCTCTATAATGATCTATGAATCACTTCATGAATTCCTGGCTTACTCATATCCATGTCCATAGTCATCTATCTTTTCTTTCCTTCTGCTTAACAAAAGAGAAATTTGTCTCAGTTCAGCATGTTACTGGGGGAACTGCAAATTTAGTTGTGTTCCCGAGAAAATCAGGACCAGCTTGTAATCACTTGGAAATTGCTATCAAGAACTGTGGCCAAGCCTAGGAGTCAATGCCCTCAGGAACCTGCCAGATTTGCAAAAAGTTGCCCTTTCCTGTGACTAATGGGTACAAAATCAGAACAGGAATTCTTCTGGAGCCATTAAGAAGCCTCTTTCTTTCCAATAGTAGATAGGAAAAGGTGTCCTCCTGGGGTATGACTAGATTTGGTAGTAAGCAAGATAGATTACAAAGTTACCAAAGTTTACCTCTTTTGATGAGATTAGTTAAAACGGCACATATAAAAGTGATTTTTTAATGACCAGTACCCATCATGGATACACAGAAAGGAAAAAAAAGATTTTTTAACTGGATCTGGCTCTGTGATACCTCTACTCTTTAGCATTAGTCACTTACATGTGCCATTTGCTCACTAACAAAAAAAAAGTGATTGTCTTAGCAGACAATCCTCTGAGGTGTCCCATGCCTTGAAAGAACTTATGTACTTATTTCAAAACCACACTGTTAAGGTCTTTAACTAAAGACTTTCTTTGGGGGAGCCCCTTTTATGCCACATACAAAGGACTTTGTAACATCTGAAGGTTGTATGCCTCAACTCCTTGGTTAGAACTTCTCAGAGGCTTTTGCTTCTGGAAGTCTGGCTTGGAGCTAGTTGCAGAACTTACTATACCATTACAGTGCTGTTAAACTGAATAGTTCAGCCCTAAGATCATCTTTTCAGCCTTGCACAGTCTCTAGAAATTCCTGTGAAGCCAGGATGCAGCAGGCTTTAGGGATACACTGCTAACTCTCGTTCACAGGAAGGTAAAATATCATCTGGAACACCAAGTCCCTGAAAAAATTTGTTCTGGTAAACAGATGACTTCTTGCTCAAAAACAAGATGCATATATTGGACATATATTGGACAATTCAATAAATATTAGAAAAATAATTTGAAAGTAATAATTTCAAGCATTTAGCACCATCAATTTTGCAGCACTGAGCTGCATGTTAACTATGCCATATAAACCCATAATTTTTTGAGTTTTAATTAGATTTCAGCTTTCTTGTGTGCACATGTCTTCTTGTATTACAAAAATCAATGAAAAGGAAGTGAAGTACGCATTCCTTTTCATATATTTGCTTTTAGGTACGTACCTTCATTGAATATTTGCAGTGTTTCATATTAGGGGAGCACTGAAAGCTAGTATCAAAGAGCTGGGACAAACAATATGTAAGTCCGTGTTTCTACTATGTATGTTCTCTTCTTCTTCTTCATTTGATAAACGAAATTACTTTTTGGATCCGAACTCTCTGATTTGCATTCTGTGTACACAGAGTTATGTAAACAGAATGAATGCAGTGTAAGATGTGTCCCATGTTTGGTTCACTTTCTCACATTAATAAGGCTTAAACAAGTCCCCATTCTCCCTCCCACCACCTAGGAGAGGAAGACACAGACGAAACCCTCCAATTATTTCTCTATCCCATGGTACCCAGGGATGTAGGGAAACTGCTCATCTCCTTCTACTTCTGTCCAAAAAGTGGCACATGATTGACCCCCAGGATCATCAAAGCACCAGGCCAGTTTGGATTGGCTTGAGTCCAACAAACACAGCCTTCTGTCAGGGCAAGTGCTGGTCAGCCAGTCCTAGCTCTGGAATGCCCCAGGCATGCCACTCTGTCAGGAACCATGCAGTGGAAGAGTTTGAAGTTGGAAGAATGGTTTGGATTGGAAGGGACCTTCAAAGGTCATCTAGTCCAACTCCAACTAGCACGTGGGGGAACAAGTCACTTACTTGCCCCTCTAAATCCTGCAGTCCTCTCAACAAGGAGATTAACAGAGTGATTCATGCCTTTCAAAGACAGACACTATCTGCAGCACTTTCTATATGGAAGGTTTGTTCAGTTCACATTTTCACAGCTGTTGTTACACTTATGAAGTGGTATAAATGACAAACTACTCGTAGGGCCCCTAGGAGAGGGCACTATATTAGATTCAAGATGTAAGATGAATTAGAATTTCTTTTAAACATTTCCCATAATTTGTACTATATATTCTGACACCAAACTAACACTGCTGTAATACTTTTTTCTTTTCTGAATTTAAATTGGCAATTGTCACACTACCTAAATGAAGACCTTTTTTCTTAATCCAAAGTACCTTCACATATGAGATTTAGCCTTTTAGAGAGAGTACACTCTCTCTAAACACTCTCTATACAGTTAACACATGAGACAGGAGTGTATCATGCTAGCTTTTTATTGTTGTGTAGAGTATTGTATAATCTTGAGGTCTGTAATGCATTCAATGAATTTAATCAATTAAGTCACACTCTACGTGCATCTGCTATGGTTCTACACCAGTGGAACCTCAGAAATGGGCTGATGACAAGATCACTGTCTTTCATAATGATATTTATACCTGTAATAACTCTTGACCTGTCCCTGCCTGTCACCTTGAGCTCTGGCAGTTATTGGGTACAGATGTTGGACAGGTCGTGCTCTGGAGAGGAAACTATACTGGGAAAGAAAAGTCTCTGTGTCAGGCAACAGAGCTTGAACAGCCTCAGAGGGTCTACACAGAGGTTAAGAGCTAGGGCAAGGGAAGAAGATCAGGAATCTGTGGCCAGGAGTGGAGAGGAAGGACTGAACTAGTAGCTGAGGTCGAGTGATCATGAGGCAGCACATTTTATCTCTGACTGATGTACAAAAAGCTCAACAACTTCCAGTCACTCCCAAACTGGCTGAATTCATCTGAAGTCTGAAATAAAAAAGTACTTTCAACTGCTGTCAGTTCCCTGAGCCATCACATTCTTCCACCTTCCTGACACAAGGCAGAGTAAATACTGCTTTCATCCAAAAAAATTATGCTCATTTACCAGTAATTGAAATCTAGTGAATGTTCTGTTCAGGTTTATAATTGGAGACTGTACTTTTCAAATTACTGGCATTTCTGTCACTCAAGGAAATTAAACACTTTGAAATGCAGTAATGAAATACAGCAATTTATCATTTAGAGAACTGAAAAATAGAGATATTTACAAAATAAAGTTTAAGTATCCATAAACATATAGTAAGAATTCAGTATTATGTGTGATGGTGTTATCTTCCTGAATTTTCCACGGAAAACTTATTTGCTTGGGCCTCTTCAATCTTCTAATCTAGACTTCTAGTTCAATGAACTATAGATTTCCATATCTGTAATACCATACACTACCTAGATAATTGGGAAGGTTGCTGAAAATAATTTAGGGGATGTCTAAATATGAAATCAAAACACTTCCAAGCAATCTGCTTTTACATCACTGCAATATCTAAAATTATGGAAACAGTAATACCTGACCAGCATATAATAAAACATACATAACTAGCATAAAATAAATCAATAAATCAAACTCTCAGACCAGTGAAATAAAAATTTGCTCATTATTTTGTCTTAATAAAATGCCAATTAAAAAAAAAAAAAGCCAAATTCCTGAATGACTGCTTAATATTGAGAGAATATTGACAGAATATGACTTTCCTCCCACAGGTAAACAGAAACATGGGGTTGCCATTCTGTAAGTATAGTTGGGGTCCTCTGAGGTTCAGTGTCCCAGTCAGTATCAATTTCCTTGCTTGGGCCATCTGTGGATTGGGGAAAGACTCTGAAATGGATGGGACACCTCCTTGCCCAGGCTGGAATAACATTGTCCCTTTTACCTCTCCATCCCTGATAAACCCACACCCACAGCAATTGTTAGGTGTAGGCTGCCACCAGTGACTCTGTACACAGACAATTCAGTTTCCACCCTTCCTGGCAGCTCTGCAGGCCGTCCTGCCTCAGGTTCAGTGTTGCAAAAACTGGGACTGGTCTTACCTCTCTGACACCACAGCTGAGAGAAGAGGTAGCTGAGGGGGAGGATGGAGAGGACTACCCTGTGCATTATGTCCTGGGGAGTGGTGGCTGCTGGGGTGGGACAAGGACACTGTCCCAGTTGCTGTAGCACTTTGACTGGTCTGTGTGCTGGCGATCAGGGCTGCTGAAAGTAAAAGGAGAGAAATAACTCTCATCATGCAGGCAATAATACTGATAACTGACCAAACACCAACAGGTAAGAGCTCCTGTAAAGCTGCAGTGACAATTCTTTGCAACTAACTGGTTTTTTTCTCAAGTGTTACTTTCTGTTCAAAGGGAAGAAGAAAAACCCACATGAAAATAATATTCTTTGCTGCTTCCAAATGACACTTTCATACAACCAGGCATGACATAACTTTGTTCCTGATCTTGGAATTTTCGTCTGACTAAGGCTGCAAATCTTCTATACCTTCGTGTTTCAGAAGAGCTGTCAAATACTTCCCAAAACATGTATTTTTACAGTTGGTAAACAGAAAGCACAGTTCCTGAAAATGGGAAATATTTTATACATTTTCCTCTCAGCTGTAAAAATCCCAAATTTCTTGAAGAGTAGTATTGCTATTATCGTCCCAGACTCCTCAGTAATACATACAAAAAGTTTAAACCATCATTAACAGTTTAGTAATTTTCTATAAGGTTGTTCTTGTACACTTTCCAATAAAGAAAGTTTCTAGATGACTAAACAAAAAGCAATACAGAACTTTGTTCAAATGTCCTAAGTAGTTGATCTCTTATCCTTTAACCTTGTTTTCAGAAGTTGGTTAAGTCAGAAAAATTTGAATCTTTGTATATCTGAAAATCCAGTTACCTAACAATTTTTACTGACATCTGTGTCAGGTAACTTATGCTGATGTTGAATGGCAGCCAAATGCATGATCTTGAATATTTTATGAACCCAGAGAATGAATTAGATAGGCTGTCTACAAGACAAAAATGATCTCTCATTGTTTGGCTGTCATATCTTCCAGTCTCTTTCAAAAAAGGGCCTAGTTTACAGAATAAAATTCTACCATAAAAATTACATTATGTTAGTGAATATATTGGAGCTAACGAATCAAATTTATTGACAAAATCCTAGAATTTAACCAGTTCCCCAGAGGGTGCTGTCACTGGTAAAACAACTTTCTAGGCTAAAATATCTGCATAGATGCTGCAATCCTAGCAGAAGAAACACTACTTTAGGAGTACTTTATGTAATATATCTATCTATCTATCTATCTATCTGTCTATCTGTCTCTATATATAATATATATAATACTTTAGGAGTAATCCCACCACACACCAGTCTTCAAGAAAATTATTTCATAAGTCACAATTTTGAATTTTGCTGCACAACATCAAAAGTGTGAAAAGTTCACCTCATCTTCCAAATCCTCAGCCTATTTCTGGAAAGACTCACAAGCCTGCCTTTGTGACACACTGGTTATTCACCAGGCTAAGGCAGAGTTAATGAAAGGTTCAGAAGTCTATGCTGCAACTTCATTAATGAGAAGTCCTGGACACATTTCAGCTAGTGGAAGTGACAGATGGTGTAAGATGACACACAGGGAACCAATTTGTGAGTAAAATCATCTGCAGAGGTAATGCCAAAGTTTTGGGCATGAGAAGGTGTCCGTTGTCACAGTTGCCGGTAAAGCTGGCGGAGTGGAGGCTGACCTTGGCGCTAGCCTCTACTGCTTGCTGATTTGTATATGGACCAGAGTGTCCTCATCACAACCCAAGTGACAACAAACATCTGACAGTGGAACCTTAAGTGAGGTACAGAGGATGCAGGTACCACAGGAGATGAGACACGACTTCAGCCAGCAGTGTAAAACACAGAGAAAGAGTTGAGGTAGAACCCCCCTCACTAAGACAGGAGAATGTGTTTTTCCCACTTTTGTTCATGTACACCAAAAGTCACCTTCTTCATGCCCGTCTTTCACAGGAGCATCAAGATGAATGTAGAGGGAAAAACAGAGGAATGAACTTTCAAATTTCTGATTTTACGCTTACATGCAGCACAGAAGAAAATAATGAAAAACAATCAAACACGCATTCTGACAGAATAAGCAGAAAGAATATTTAACATATCAGTACACTGCAAAGGAACACCCTGACTGTCAAAATTAAAACAGACAAATTATTCCTTGCAAAAAACAGGGTAACTTGTATTTTACCATGAAAAAACCTAATTAAACTGTAAGAATATACAATGACTTAGTTTCACAGTACTGTGATTGTATCTTTAGATCACATCCCTGCCTTTTAAGACATTTTTTTCCCTTTCAGAGGACTGCAGTTTCTAAAGTTTGGTCTCATCATGATGAAAGGCACTATAAATGGTGCAAATGGCTGTGTTGCTTACACACTAATCCATCAGTAATGTTCTCTTCTTTACGATATGAACCAGAACATAGCATGAACTTTTGGAGAACCATTAAGGTGTCTCAAAATGGAAATTATAAACTCAGAAGTAAAACTGGTGAATAAAAGGACAGGTCTGAGGGAAAATAATCTATCCTTCTTAAACTAAGATAGATAATAATATTAACACTTTTCAACTCCCTGTAACGTGTGTATGGTCCTATCTGGGACTACATCACATTCACTAGGAGTTCTAGATACTATGCAACACTTAAATTCACCCCAAGGAGTGACAACAGAGATCCTCTTCGTTGCTGGTATCCCTACATCACTGACTCTTTTGTCTCCATCCTTATGCATCAAAAACAATTTTGTTTTTCATGGTAAGGGACATTCACGTGTCACTTCTTCCTTTTCATTCATTTTGATTTTTCTTACATTAATGAGCTCTAACTACTTTCCAAGGCTGTCAGCCTCAACAAACAGACTGCCTTTTTTCTCAGACATCTCTTAGGGAGCTTGCTCTCTGGGACAATTGCTTTAATAAAATCATTTTATTCTTTCCTGCACATGTACTCTATCCTTTACCTGCCTGTTTTTTCTACCTACTTTCCTAAACTATCTTAGATACATACTCCATAGGGATTGGATGTTTTCTTACTATGTGCATAGAGCACCTAGCTTAGTACTATTTCAGTGGGAAAAAAAAATCCACAAAGAAAAGTATTATGTAAGCAAAGCACAACTTGAATCATAGGCATAAAAATAGTTAGGTCAAAGTTTCACAATAAAGCATAACATACAACATAAGACATTATTTAAAAAACACTTAGAATTCAAACAAGTTATGTAACTTTAAAGATACAGCTTTTAAATGCCAACTTGCAAAGAAAGTCATGCACTTGCCAAGTTTAAGTGATATCATTTACTTGCTCTTGAGCAGAGCTGTGTATGAGATTCAGTAACTATTCCTATATGAATTGCAAATTCTGCTTTATGCTTAAATATGAAATGGTCAAGCTTTAACCAAACAGCACAGTAAAAGTATTTTTTGCATTGCATTATTTATGATTCTTTCAGCTTTACAGATTTTAGATTGCACTATAAACAGTTAGTTCATACAACTACATAGTAGTAAAAACCATCATCTTTGTGTTCTTATTATGAATTAATTGCTCACGTCTTCATTTTGTGAAGTGAATAAGCCCAGAAGCCTATGAATTTTTGAAAATTAAAACCCAGATGCTATCACTATACTTAGCCTTAGAAGAGTCTGTATGCTTGTTTTAGATCTTTAAATACAATGTTGTATTAGTTTTAAGCAAAGAATCTGTCACACTACTTCACTGTATTAGTAAGATTATACCTAAGCAAGTTCAGGTTTCTTTAATTAAGACTACAAGATAAGAAAAAATATTTATGGAAGTTAACTTTAAGTAGTAGATGCATAATCAAAAATATTATTGTTGTATTTAATATAAATGTACTTATGTTTGCAGATTCTGTACTCTAACAGTAGGGAAAGTGTACAGTTGTCCCTACAGGCATTGTACTATGTAAGTGGAAATTGACTTGCTTCCATATGTCTACTTTTGACATTTCTTACATATTTCTAATAGTTTGCTTTCAAACATTTATCCTGTAGACTTCTTCAGAAGTCTTAAATGTGCATCAATGGTAAGCAAAGTCACCTTCAAGTCATAAAAGTTTGATTTGACACCACTGGAAGAATGGAAATCTGTTCTTGTTTCTACTTGAAAAGTAGCACAGACACATTTCAGATAATATGCTCTCTCAAACAGTACCCAGTAAAAGTTACATACCTTATTTTTGGAAGTGTCAAAGTTTTTTGTTATATTTTGTTATATACCAAAAAAAAATTGGTTTTAGAGAATTTTGGAGGGTAGCTTCTGTAAGGCAGGACTCTTAAGTTTTTGTATATTTCACTTTCCTCTCCTTGGGTCTTGAATAATTTTCATATTGCCATTTCAATAAAATAATTCCCTGCCTGGTAGAGTTATCTTATTTATCCACAGAGTATATTATTATGTAGCAGCCCTGATGAGTTCATGAAACAACTCATTTCAACTGGATTGAGTGGTTGTCAAAATGGAGTGACATGTATTCATCTATACCTGACATAATACCCTCAGTTAACTGATGTGAAACAACACAAGTGAATAAAACTACAAGAAATTTCCAAGTTATCTATAACTGTGAACACAAGTAAGGGAAAGCAGATTATTACTTACACAGAAATTCATACTGATAAGACTATGTTGATTAATACCATAAAATTTGCCATACAGTAGGATGCAGTGCAAAGTAAGAAACAAGTAAAATAAATTATTATATCAAACTATGTCAATAGTTAGTAGTGCTGTAAACACCAAGTACACAAGTGCTATAAAACACACAAGTAAAGACAAGGTATGAATGAGACTACAAAATGTAATGCCACAGTCTCAGAAGCTGTCTGTGGGACACCACGACTGCAGACAACTGCCAGCTAAGGGCTGGGTGGAGGCAGCAGCTTAACTTGGCTTGTCACAAGCAGCAGTTTGTTCAAGCCACTGTCAGCCTAGATTTGGATTGACCAAGCTGCTGGAGTTTGACACTTAATCAGTCTGGAAGCTAGACTGGTAAAAGAAATGAGTGCTCAACAGATTGTTGTGGAAATCTCCTGTGAGAATGTCCTCAATTTTTGAAAATCTGGTTTCGGCTCTTGTGACACAATGTCCCATCCCACCTTCTATTCTGCCTAGGGACTTGAAAGGAAAATGAAAAGCTGAGCCTTTATTATCTCTCAGTTTTGCACATTACACTGGGCAATGCCATTAAATAATTATTTTAAATCTCAACATTCCTCACTACCCAACTCCCTCTCAACATACAACATGAAATAAATAACTATAACTAACAACATGTTCCCAGAGATTTCCTGGCCCAAAGTGCATCTCTAAACTCTGAAATTTCTTTATACTTTCAAGTAACAGATGCCACACTCACCCTATATTCAGAATATGGCATTTAAAATTTAACAGTGTCAAGTAATACCAACTATTTAATAAATTGTAATACAGTCATAGCTTTGTATTTCCTAATTTTTGTCATATTAACCTGCATCATCACCAGCAAGTGTGTAACTCACAGCAGCCTTGACAAAAACATGTAATAGAACTGATAGCCTTACAGACCTCTCAATAAAATAAAACTACTTTTTGAAGTGGCCACTTCATATAATGTAATTTTCATCACTACACATAACATTAACGCAGTCAATTCATTCACTTCCTACATCTGGTTCTCACTTAAAAGTTGGATTGATAGAAGATGTAATGCATTCTGTATAAAAGTTAAAAACAGATGCCTTCACAACTACTAAAATACTCCATTAAAAATGTTAACATCCTGTCCATGCTGTCTTGAGCTTTGAGATGTACTATCACTCATAGTTTACCAACTGTTTCAAATTTAGTTGAAATGTGAACAACACTTGTACATTGTACAATAAAATAGGATTACATTTATAGTATAAATGTGTTTATTGGCATATTTATAGTGATAATGAGAGCTCATAATGCAGCATTTAAGTACATTAATGTAGATTGATTGGCAAACTGATACGTGATCCATGAATAAGTAAGAGGGAAAATACTGTGATTTTAAATGAAGCTTAACGTATTCTTGATACCTACAAGGAATAGTAGCAGTGAATTGGTAGTAGAAGTCAAATATCGCTCTATGTTGCAGTAGTTCTTTTCACGGATATAGTACGATTTGGCCTGCCTCCCTCCATAACCATATAAACCTCCCTCCATAACCTGCCTCCCTCCAAAACCATATAAAAATATGTTCAAAATCTGTATTTTTATATTACTTTGCAGATTCTATTCTTCTTATGAGATAGATATGGATTTCAGAGTACATCCTACTCTGCAAAATCATCCTTCATCTAAAGTGAACAATTACATAGCAGCTTTTCATATGTCTTTTTCTATACCTGGGTAAATATTATGAACAGGCCCTGGAGAGTATTCCATGGAATTATCTGCAGTGTCATGTGGTGACAGGGCTGGCTGGATGGTCTGGATTGCAAGGCAGTTATTCAAGATGTCCTGGCCAAGCTCTGAGCTTGATCGCAACTGAAACATAAGAGACAATAAAAATTAGAAACTATAACATGCGCAAAACTCAGGAAATAATCACAAAATCCCTCAAGACAGTGAAAAATTATAATGAAGAAATTTGAGAGATTAGAGAAAGAATGGAGCACAATCAGAAATCTTCTCTTTTAAGTCCTGATTAATATCATCCTTTTATTACAGCAGGCATTTTTTGAATCTGAGGAAGAAAATACTTCCAGACGCTTAACAAAACTGTACTTGGGACAAGGGCTACTTGTATAGTTAGGAACTTGGACAGATGGACTTTAGTGCATTCTCTTGTCATGCACTGCAAAAGATAAGAGTGTCGTAGTTCATCGGTAAAGGAGATTTATCACCTCTCTGACATTGCTTGTATCAGCAGAGGGTACTAAAATAAATAAAAATGTTTTCATGCTCATTTAATGCACTGAGCTGTCTCACTGCAGGATCAGAAAAACAAAGGTTCTCATGGCACTGGAAATGAGGGACTGGGAATGAGCAGCCAGGAAGGGTAGCATTCAAGACAGTCAGGATGGAAGTGGGACCACCTTACGTGGACCAAAGTTGTCTGAGACACCATCGTTAAACTGTCTAGGACTACATTTGTTTCACATTACAGCTGAACTGATCTGACCATGAGTGCTCTGTCACTGCCACTAATCCCAGCTGCATGCATACCACCTTTCCTGGTACCTGTTCCATCAACAGCAAGTCTGTTTATCTGGCTGATCCAGCAGAAAATTCACTCTGAAAACAATTAATAAACAAGTTCATAAGAAGAATTCCTTTGGGTGAAACTGGATGAACAGTCTCACTCCAAGGCTACAATAAAATAGAGTAAAAAAAAATAATTTAAAAAGTTCACCAAACCAAAATAAGAAAAGGGAAGCCTCCTGCAGCACCTTAACTCAAGGTTGTCCTGGCTATAATGCCTAACTTTATGTTGAGGTTTATGGCAGATAGATGCTGCTCCAGGCTGCTGGCACTGATGCAGGTCCCAGCTTCATTCCTAATGTTACTGCTTTACACAACAAAAGTTTGCTTGTTCCTTACAGAGTGGCTCACAGAGTGGCATATTCACTTTAATAGCATCAAAAAAGGAGGGTGTGTGCTTATATGCATGTTGGACACTGCAGTGGCTGAGATGCCATTAAATATCCTGTCCTGTCTCTCATGCTGGTGAGGAGAAAGTTCATGCAGCATGACAGAAACCTGACCTAGTGCAGTAAGATTTGCTGCACTTGTGCATCGGAGTCCCAAGAAGCAAATGTCACAGATGCAACTTAGGTTTCTCCTCTCTTGTTTGTTGCCATGAGAGGTGAGCAGGTAACAGTAACTAGAACATAACCTAGAACTTCTAAAAATTCCTAGGGGGAGGAGGAAGGAACAAGATGAGAAATTTCTCTCCATCCTATACTCAGAAATTAATCACAGAATGGTTTGAGTTGGAAGGCATGTTAAAGATCGTCTCATTTCACTCTTTCTGCCACAACCAGGGACACCTTTCGCTAGACCAGGTTGCCTGGACTCCCATCCAACCTGGCCTTGAACACTTCCAGGGATGGAACAAATTAAGACAGAAGAGGAAACTGTTCTGAACGTAACTGTAAAAAGATCCATTACTGTGCCACAAGATGCTGATAAACATTCAAATTACTTTTGATGATATGCACTAGTATAAAGTACTGCAACAGAGCAGGGAGTTGGTCTTATGCATCATAAGCACCTGACACAGGGTAACTGTAGGTAAGAGAGATTACATGACCTGTGATGCCTATCCACAGACTGTGTGTGTTGTAGATTATTCCTTCTCCTAAAAATTCAGCAAGTCGTTATTAAGCTCCAAGGCACACTACCTTTGTGAGGTATATCTGTATTCTAGAATTGTATCAGGGAGGGTGGGGAGGGGGGAAGATGGAGAAAAGGATAGATGCCCTGAAAAATGCTTTTTGTTTATTATCCATATTTACAATTTTCTGTAAGTATGAGTGTTTCTTCCAGTGGAGCATGTACCGTTGTCTGCTATTGGGCACTGGTTATGCTGGGTTTGCTGCTATCAGTAATAGTATGGCTTTTTCATGAAATTAAGTGGTTGCGAAATTAAAAGTCCATTCAACTTCTTATCAGTTACATTAATAATGAACATTATGCGACTTTAAACTTCTATGGAATTTAATATGAAAATAATGATGAAAAAATCTGACTTCTGTAGAAACCAGGAGATTCCATCACATAGAATATAAATTCACAGAAGTTGCCTGTGTAAAGTTCTTTGGTTTTGCACTTTTTTTTTTTCAAGAAATGGATAATTTTTTTGTATCAGATAGCATTCATATGGATGAAACAGTAAGCAAAACAAGGAGTTACAAGAATTAAGTAATTCTTGTAAAATAAAATAGGCAAACACCTATTTTACAAATTTTTTATTTTGCACTATTCAGGAGTTTTGTTTTGCATTCACAAATCCTTTGATATTTAGAAAATCTATCACAAGAATCTGTGATGACAAATTTTCTGGCTTGACCAATAGTCAATGCTTATAAAACTCCAGGATTATCAACAGAAAAACAAAAACAAAGAAAGAAACGCTGTGAGACAGCTGTGACCTGATTTCTGAAGACAGTTCTAATTTCATGCATTGGTTATTGTTGATTCATATTTATAACCACAAGGGCTAGAAATACATATTTTAAAATCTTACATTCACAGACATGCAAGTGTATGTATTACAATATGTAAGGTTATGCTATTTTCTATGGCATCAGGCCTGCCAGAGTCAAATGGGCTTCATCTATCTAGCAAAGGCAAAAGGACTCCAGCCCGTAAGTTGTTGGGGCTGATCAGGAGGGCTTTAAACTAGGTTTGAAGGGGGAAGGGTTCTCCAGAGATGAGTCTAAGGGTGGAAAGCCAGAGTTAGGAGTCAAACCAGTAGCCCAGCTGAAGTGCACGAACACCAGTGCACATAGGATGAGTAACAAACAGGAGGAGCTGGAAGCCATCGTGCAGCAGGAAAGCTGTGATGTAGTTGTCATCATGGAAATGTGGTGGGATGACTTGCGTGACTGGAGTGCTGCCATGGATGGATACAGGCTCTGCAGAAGGGACAGGCAAAGTAGGAGAGGTGGAGGGGTGGCTCTGTAAGTTAGATTGTCTCTTGACTCTGTAGAACTTGAAGTCAGTAACAATAAGGTTGAGGTTTTTTGGACCAAAATCAGGGGAAGGCCAACAAGGCTGATATCCTGATGGGAGTCTGTTACAGACCACCCAACCAGGATGATGAGGGTGATGAATTATTCTACAAGCAGCTGGCAGATACCTCAAAATTGCCAGCCCTTGTTCTTGTGGGTGACTTCAACCTGACGGATGCCTGCTGGGAACTCAACACAGCAGAGAAGAGGCAGTCTAGGAGATTCCTAGAGAGTAGGGAGGATGATTTCCTGCTCCAGTTGGTAAATGAGCCTACCAGAGATTGGGCCCCACTAGACCTGCTGTTCACAAACAGAGAGAGTCTTGTGGGAGACACGGTGGTTGGAGGTCGCCTGGGGCACAGTGACCATGAAATAATAGTTTTCAATACTTAGAGATGCAAAGAGGGTCATCAACAAAACTTCTATCCTGGACTTTCAGAGTGTAGATTTTGGCCTGCTCAGAAGACTGGTTCAGAGGGTACCTTGAGAAACGGCCCTTGAAAACAAAGGGGTCCAGAATGCATGGACATGCTTAAAGAAGCAAGTCCTGAACTCACAGGAGCTGGCTGTCCCAGTGTGCTGAAAGGCGAGCTAGCAGGGAAGATGACCAGTCTGGCTGAACAGGGAGATTTTTAAGGAAATTAGAAGAAAAAAGAGATTATGGAGAAAAGGGCTGGCTATTCTTGAAGAGTTTAAAAACATAATTTTTAAGATGAGACTGGATTTGGCACTTAGTGCCATGGTCTAGTAACCACAGCAGTGTTGGATCAGGGGTTGGACCTGATGATCTTGGAGGTCTTTTCCAACCCATCTGATTCTATGATTGGATGATTCTATATGCATATAATATGTAATTTTAAAATGACAAGATATGAATTTAACTTACATATGACGAAACCTCCTGAGCAAGAGGTGGGTATTACACTGACTTGTGCAACAGAAGACACATATACTGCTAATTCAAATTGCCACTAAAAATACTACCATGGACCTTCTATAAGACCTATCCAGATAGCAGATACTGGGAATACCTTTACTGTCGCCTACTACACAGTATGCCTATGAGTTGCTCTTTAACAGTAATTACTATTGTACCACTGAAAGAAGCAGAAAGTAAGAGGGGAAGAGCCCTTTTCTGCTGCTTAGCAGGGCAGGACCAGAAATGGGTAAGCTTCCTTTGGCAGCACCAGCCATTATATTACAGCTGCTTCCCAAACCAGGCACAACTTCTGGAAAACTCCATTTCTCATGTTTTCTCTTGATAGAGACAGGAAGCATACTTTGGCTTCTGGGTCCTGCTTCCTCTGCCATTTAAAGCTTCTCCTCTGCCCAATGTTCTTCCAGATCTTTCCTCTGTGCTATTAACAGGGGTGGCATAAGCTGTGGCCTTTTTGGAACAAAATACATGGCAAAACACAGACTCTGGTTCAAATAGAGCTGATCAAGGCATTTATTTTTCCTGTAAAGACGTTCAGGGTAAAAATCCACTCTATCTGTGTCAAATATTTTTACATATTTCATAAGAAAATTTTAACCGAAGCCAGTGTTTTGCATTTTGACAAATGCAGGGAAATCAGTGTAATGATTTTTCTTCAGTAAGTGAAAAAACACTGAACAGACAATGAAAAGACAGATGATCTTACAAATAAGCAAAACCCATCAACCATTCAATGCAATCACAGAATTTCATCTTCAGTTAAAAAAGCTATGAAGGAGAAATAATGAATGAATAATGAAATAAAGAATGACCAGATATAACTGCTGCAGTCTGTATCTTGCTTTAACAACAATGCATTTCTTTTTCAACCT